ATACTTGCATTTGAAATCACACATTTTCAACCAACACTTGCCGAATCAACCAACACATTTTCAATAAAAGACGGTGGCGACTCTTGCTTACCGCGACATTTTGCGAAACACAAACACGAACCAGCATTCCAAAAACAGTCAGTTCTATTCCCACCGACCACAGTTATTATTAGGGAATGTGTCGAGACTTATACTAATAATAACAACATTGGCGAGAGAAAGAAACCTTATCTCGGCTTTGTCAAGAATGAAGAAGGTGAAAATAGTGCTTCTATTATAGATAAGGATTCTCAACCCCGGGTGGCTCAACAACAGTCTTTCTTGCCACAACAGCAGTATGCTCCACAACGGTAAAATCATTAGAATCAGAATCAGCACAGACCTCGAAATAATTTGGAAAGAAGGAATGCTCCTTTGGATCTAATTCCTGTGACCTACAGTCAAATTCTTCCATGTCTGATTCAAAACTCTTTCGTAGTTCCAAAATTCCTAAATCCTCCGCCGCAGCCATTTCCATTTGGGTATAATTCCAACATACAATGCAGGTACCACGCCGGGTCAGCAGGACATTTAACTGAGGATTGTAATGCTTACAAAGCTAATGTACAACAATTGATCGATAATAAGTACTTAGCTTTTCAAGGAGGAAACATGTTGGTAACCAGAAACCCTTCACCTGAATAGTTGTCAAGACTACAAAGAGCATCCCCTCAACTAAGTCAATCCTAAAGAAGCCTCCTCAACACGGCAATTTCTACTTCCGTTTGTATTCTCATTTGTAATCTTTTTTGTTTTCTTCAATACTTTCTTGTATGCAAAACTGTTTGTTTTTTAATATTAAATCACAATGCGTTGAATATGATTGTCTTGAATTAATCCATTTGTCATCACTCTTATTTATTTTACAATGCTTTTGACACTCAACTCTTGTTAAATAAAGCAAAATAACTCTGGAGAGAGGATGATGAGAAATATACCTAAAATCTCAAACGTTATGCTTTTGAGTAAAACCCTGCTGACGATGTACAAGAATTGTTTCAATCCCCAAACACCGGAGATATAAGGGAGATAGACCCTCGTTAACCCCTTTGAGCCTTCGGAGTAGGATTTCTTTTCTCTTCAGAAAAAACCCTCATTTTAACCCTGGGGCGGGTATTGTTCAATTAATATGATCAAGCATTTAGAACTCATTAAGAGTGCGCATCTAAGGATACAACATTGGTAATCCTTAAAAAAGGTTGAGGAAAGTCAAAACCGTAATGGCTAACCCTCATCTATCAGCAACGTGCATCAAAGAGAGAGATATCACAATGGGTATCTCTCGCGCGTCGGGAGGATTGAAGATGACGATGCAACAATGGTTATCCTTCATCTACCAAAGACTCAGACAATCACGGCCAATTCCAACAAATCAAAAACGGCGTAAACATCAACGACTTGTTCAGAATGAAAAATATGAATAAGAAAGAAACAAAACTCCCCTCTAAGTCCAAAATTGAAAACAAGTCGCTTAGGCAAAATTTAGGGCATCTCGCTGGACTTCTAAATCGAAATTCAAAATAATTTTCTAGGAAAAAGTTAGGGAAAGCGAGAAAGAAATTAAAAAGCCTAAAAGACAATAAAAAGATTACTAATAAAAATCCTTATCGAAATAACAAGGTCGTGTGATCAGACACTAAAATCAGAAATTAGTGACTGTCGTGTCCAAGAAGTCCATGTGGTTTCTCAACCATTGTAAATTCCTCTTGAGTGATGATTGCTCGAATCAAGTTAATTGAACATAGGAATGAAGAACATCACAGAGAATGTGTGGGCACCAAATAATTTTGAGCCTTAAATCCTTTTTTCTAAAACCATGAATCATGCCACGTTACAACCCTTGGAAGCCCTAACTAAAGCATGGGTTAATTCGAAACCGCATTGAAACGAGAATATGGTAATCTGACTCCCAGGAGTCTTGCTAAAACTTTTGAATTGGTATCACTCCATCCTTTATTGTCTTTTGTACAAAAAAAAAATCGATGTTTCGGCATCATTTCAATAAATGTTTTTAAAACTTCAAGACAAGCATATGATTTGCATTAGAATTATCATTCTTAGATAAACATTATTTGCATGTGAATGAGTGCTAAAACATCAAGTAAGCTTGCATAATAAGCATCAAATGAAAACTTGATTATCCCAAGGGACAAATCGCCTCAGAAATCTATCGAAAAGAAAACCATCTTAAAGAATGATCATATTCTAAGGCAGGATTTTAGTGACTCTGTTGGGTAGAAGAAGACGAGCAAGAGAATACTCATTTGAGTAAGAATTTAGTCAATCAAAGGCTATCACGTCGATAAAACTCTAGTTTCCATCAACATGGAGAAATCACGTTGAGCAATCTATTCACAATTCATTCAACCTGGGGAAGTTACGTCGAGATTCGACAAATCTCTCCAAGGAATCTATAATAAGAGACAATTTATTTTGTGAATAAAGAGATTAGGGAAGGCCACCTCATATCTTATTGTGCCACGGATATTTTGGTCTTCTATTCAGCATAGATCCTCTCAGAGATCCTCCAGACAGAGGCATTCCTCACCTATACTCGCAAAGCTGCTCAAGCCAATTATGTTGTATGAGACGAATATAATCAAGCCAAAAGCGTCATAACAGTCACCCTGACCTGGTCAGTGCATGAAGTCGCCTTCATCTGCTATAGACAATTTCAAATCGAATTACCCAGGTGAATTCAGAATGATCAGAGTCATCATTTGACTTGGCGCACGTAAGTGCACGACCCCCGAGGGCTAAATAGGGGCATCCGAGAGCTAAACAGGGGCATCCGAGAGATAAACTGGGACATTCGCAAAGCTAAGTCGGGGCATTCTCAAGTGTTTATGTCCATCTTTTATCCCCAAATGATTCAAGAGGCAATTCTCTAGTAGAGTAAACTTGGGGGAGTCGAGGGGTTTCGTGTGGTTTAGCATGTGATCTCCGCCAAATTGTCCTATAGACTTTCCTCAGTGGAGTAAACCTGGGCATTCACAAGTGTTCATGTCCATTTTTTATCCCCAAGTGATTCAAGAGGTAATTCCCCAGTGTGGCGTAAACTTGGAGCAGGTATTCTAAGAGATCCACATGGTGTTTGATATCCATTCCTCAGTGTATTCAATCCTACCATGCTCAAGGCTATTCAGGATGTAGGGAAGTCAGCCCAGATTATCTCTTCCCCAACAATAAAATTCAGTGGCGTACCTGAAAACTCTCTTCGTCAATAATTCAATCATCAACGAAGTCATCTATAATCTTCGGTATCATGAGCTCCCCAGTGAAAATTCTTATCAGTATCCCCAACAATCTTTGATACTGCAGGTTTTCAATGTCGATGTGTATTAGCATCCCCGATGATGAGCAACAATTCCCAATGAGCCTTCGATTATCCTCATGAAGTCTATTTCTTTACATTGCATATAGTTATCACTATATAACATTGCATATTTAAAAGCGTGTAGTCGATCCATCAGAATAGATCTTTGCGGAAAAATAAATTCAAACATGCATACGAAGCATAAGCCAAATCTTGTACCTTACACGAAAGACCTGAATCATTCAAAGACAGCAATACATCCCCACAAGAGGAGACCGCTCCCAAACCTTCAGCTGACGTCCTTTGTTACATCATGATACCCAGCTAACGGTGGCAGTACCTTGTACTTCCAAACACTCGTTCATGTCGATGTTCTAAACACTCGTTCATGTCAGTTTTCCAAACACTCGTCCATGTCGATGTTCTAAACACTCGCCTGTGTCAGTCTCTCAAACACTCGTCCATGTCGATGTTCTAAACACTCATCTGCGTCAGTTTTCCAAACACTCGTTCGCGTCAGCTTTTCCAAACACTCGTCAGTGTCTATTTTCCTCCCGAATTCCCAGCAAAATCAATACACCAAGTTTAAACCCAGTTCCCATCTGGTAGTAAGTTCTCGTCTGATGATCAATTCTAAACCCAGTTCTCGTCTGACAATTAATTCAAAGCTAGTTCTCGTCTGGTAGTCAATTCCCATCTGACGATCAATTCTAAACCCAGTTCCTGTCTGGTAGTCAGTTCTCGTGTGAAAATTAATTCAAACCCAGTTCTCTTCTGGTGGTCAGTTCTCATTTGACAATTAATTCAAATTCTAGTCCTCTTCTGGTAGTCAATTCCCATCTAACAATTGATTCAAAATCCAGTTCCCGTCTGGTAGTCAGTTCTTGTCTAACAATTACTTCAAAAGCCAATCCTCGTCTGCTAGTAAGTTCCCATCTAACATCTGATTTAAAATCCAGTTCTCGTCTGGTAGTCTGTTCCTTTCTGACAATCAATTTTAAACCCAGTTCCGGTCTGGTAGTCAGTCCCCGTCTGACAATTAATTCTAAACCTAGTTCTCGTCTGGTAGTCAGTTCACGTTTGAAAATCAATTATAAACCCAATTCCTATCTGGTAATTAGTCCTCATCAGATGATTAATTCAAATTCCAGTCCTCGTCTGGTAGTCAGTTCATGTCTAACAATTTATTCAAAATCCAGTTCCCGTCTGGTAGTCAGTTCTCGTCTGACAATCAATTCAAACCTTGTTCTCTTCTGGTAGTCAGTCCCCATCTGAAAATCAATTATAAACCCAATTCTCGCCTGGTAGTCAGTTTTCGTCTGACAATCAATTATAAATCTAGTTCATGTCTGGTAGTCAATCCCCGTCAAACAATCAATTATAAACTCAGTTCTCGTTTGGTATTCAGTTCCCATCTGATAATTGATTCAAACTCAAATTCTTGTCTGGTAGTCAGATCCCGTCTGACAATTGATTCAAACTCCAATTCTCGTCTAGTAGTCAGTTCCCATCTGACAATTGATTCAAATCCCAGTTCCCGTCTGGTAGTCAGTTCCAGTGTGATAATTGATTCAAATTATAATTCTCGTTTGGTTATCATTTCTCATTTGTCGTTCCTCTCCTCCTTTTTCGATCAAGTATCTGTTTAGCATACGACACTATTATACTTCCAGCTATTGACCTTTTTTCGGGATCGGGTATCATCCTTAGATTCTACCCCCTTTCGATGTCTTGTTTTGGGTTGCGGGTTGTCCTGATACCTCCCCTCTTTATGTCCTTCCATGGGTCTTGGATTGTCCTGATATCCCACCATCTTGTCATCTTGTCTTGGGTGCGGGTTGTCTTGATACCTCCCCTCTTGATGTCCTTCCATGGGCCGTGGATTGTCCTGATATCCCACCATCTTGTCATCTTGTCTCTGGTGCAGATTGTCCTGATACTTCCCCTCTTGATGTTCTTTCTCGGGTCGTGGATTATCCTTATGTCCTACCCTGTAATCCTTTCGTGTTGTGGATTGTCCTGATATCCTATCATTCTACCTTTTTCACCATAGCAATTGTTCCTCTCTGAGAACTTCATATTGGCACCGTTCCCCCTGATATACATTTTCACTATTCAGCTGCACTTTCACATCACAAACCTTTTACCCAGTAAACGTCCCACAAAAATATTATAATAATAATTATAAATAACATTCACACTTTCTCTCAACAAATTTTTAGCATTGATATTTAATCATCTTCCACCATGAATGTTCGAAAGACTAACGTCAATCTCACCTTCATGGTTTAAGACGATTAAATAGGGGCAGCTTTAATATCCCAAATTTGTCCTACCCTTTCACTTTTAATTGCTTATGCATCTCGCACTTTTCTCATGTACATAACTTCCATTAGGTCATACAATAAATCATGCATCATAAATAAATTTTGCATGGGATCGATGATATTGAGGAATTAGGGTTTATTTGTGCTTTTAGGCTCTTATCTTCATTCAGGGGATTCAAGTTGTTTCTTCAATGATGAGGGAAATATGCAAGGGTTTTAACTTGTTATGCTTCATCAATTAGGGTTTTGGTTCCCTCCATCGCCTCGAGCTACTTTTATTATTAATGCGCATCCAAAGCAAGAATCAGGGTCTCTTATCCAATGTGCTTGAACTTTGTTAATGCATCATCCAAGGGTTTATCCAAGAAGCCATGGGTTAGCGCATTTATCATCTTCTCTTGTCTATCATCCCCACATGGCTTAGAGTTTATTTCCCTAACCATACATTCTTCAAGAGAGGTCTTTGTGGAGCTTGTCATCAGTAGACGTCATCATTACAAAGGGGTTCAACTATTATTTAAGGTGCAAGTATTAAAGCATAAGTTACATTAATAAAAGTTACTCTTAAGATTCGGAGGTCTTCATTCATCATGTTCAAACATTGCAAATTGAAAAAAGGTGGATGAATTAGAAGGGAAAATGATTCAAACTTGATTCAAATGTTAATTCATCATAATTACAAACACCATTCAAATTTTCATTCAAATCATTTCAATTACTTCCAATATTATGCTAAGCCTATCCAAGTGTCCTAAACTTATGCTAAGTCCAATCTTCAAGCCAAACTTCCAACATTCTCCAGGCCTTGCATATATGATCATTCTTCCAAAACCTTGTCTATGCCATAACAAACCTGCATTATCAATATCCAAAAATAGTCAAAGATTCAATAAACAAATTCATGAATACTAAAGCCAATACCAAAACCAGAAAAGTAAGACATATAAGTATGCATCTAAATAAGACAAACCGCATAAACAAACTCCATAATAGAGCATATGTCATAATTCAAGTGCAGAAAAAAGGCTCAGACCAAACATTTAAATTCTCGGTTTCCATCTAACTAACTCATTCATTCCAACTGAAACAAACTTAAACTAACTTTCCAGCTTTCAAACAGAATTCAAACAGAACTCACACCTCTAACCAACTGGCAAAACATAAATCACACCTCTAACCACATGTCAAAACTAACTCTCCCAACCTCATAACAAAGTCCTAACTTACTAATAACAAACCTCTATGCCATCCAAATCCTAACAAAAATAACTAACAAATTTCAACCAACTTCCAAACAAAATTTTGTAACAGTTTTCCAACCAACTTTTTTCTTACTCTATAACTAACTAACCGCTAACTGATTCAATAATTAATTTCTAAACAATCCTAACCAATTACCAAACCAACCATAACAGAATATAACATAATAAGAGAACAGGCTAACCGTTTTTTCAACAACCTTCTAACAGGACTTCATATCATCATCTTTGTAGATTCTCATTTATACACAATCATTATCCATTCATGATTGTTCACAGTTTATCAACACAGAGAAAACTACCAAAAATATATCTATCTATTCACTACATGATTCATACAGAAAATAGAGAGAAAAAACTCACCAGAAAACGTTCTACTCTCTGCATAATTTTCATCTTCATTGAATCTTCATCATCTTCTGCAATAACCTTCAACTTTTCTTATCTCTGCATCAACCTTGATGTATCTGTAACCGTTTTTCAACCATCATCACCAACAACATCACGAATCATTCCTCACCTCTGAAACAACAACGCACACACCAAAATTTCATCAATTCTACAATCGAACCTTGAAGCTTCTGCAATCTTTATCGTATCACCTCTGCAACAGCTACTCAACCTCAACTTCGCTTAAATCCACTCAATTCTGCTCTCTGATACGAGCATGGCATAAGTGCAAAGCTTCACTCTCAACTCTCGCCGACATCTCCAACCTTCGATCATCATTAAACTCCGTTCATCTACATCAACTACAATAAAATGCAACAACTATATCACCAATCGACAATGGTGCTTGGTTGAATCCGTAGCTCGCAGTAGTAACAATATCATCCCTGATTCAATCTTCACAACAATGTAAAAAATGAAACAAAATCAAGAAGAAGAAAATGAAGAAGGAGTAAGAGCAAGAGCAACATCGTCTGATTTCCTACACCACCAACCTTCCAAATTACGCCTTGTCCCTCATATGTTGTATGTACCTGATTCTGCATTGGTATGGATTAGAAGAAATTGAGGGAATATTGTTGTTTTTCTTTGGCCTGATTTTACAAGTATCCATAAGCCCATGATCCAAGACAATGCACAAAACCCTAGTAGAAGTAACTGTAAAAGGATCTCTTGATTGAAAGGAAGAGAGTTCAACATTTTTTAGAGATAAAAACACTTAGAGAAAAACAAGTGAAAGAAGTGAGTTGAACAGAGTGAAAATTCTTCTTCTCCCCACCCGAAGTGTATACTACCAATATCGTGACAGAAGTCGTCTCTTGGTGATTAACTATTGCAAGAAGATGAATAAGTTACTCTTAGTTTGTATTTTCTTTTTCACCGTGTGTTTAGGAATGCTTATCCTATGAATTAGTATTCTTGTATGTACTAAGCTCACCATGAATTAAAACCTTTTATATTGAGCAATGTGAAGTTAATGTAAAGTAGCCTTTTATGTTAAATGGCATGTTATTAATGCTTTGTTTTATCACATGTTGAACTGTTATAAATCTTCTCTTTTGACTGATCAATTTGGAAAAAGATACAAGTTTGTTGTTGTGAGAGATTCAACAACAAGTAATTTTCATGAGAAAAGTGATTGAAAATACTAGGATAGAGATATTCACTAGATTAGCTACTTTAAAGATAAAGAGCTACAATTATAGAGGACATTCAGAATAAACCAGGACATGCATTAGGGTTATAAGTGAGACGTAGAGATTTGTCCCCTTACTTTAATGTATATGTTTTTGATGTTGTAGAGATATATCTTAAGATCACGTTCTGACCTTTAATTGCACGACATAACATGTCATTGACACATAAATGACAAGTTATATTAATGGATCATTGCCCAGCATATTCTCTATTATTGAATTCGCTTACTTTTTTGAAACTATTTTTGACATTGTTTGCTACTGAACTGAACATGTAACATCCATTAACTATTTATATCTTGCTCATGCTCGTTAATAAAAAATAGTATTTACAAAATCAATCTAAATTATTTTTCACTTCTTGTGAGTTCGACATCCTTAATATCCTGTCACTTACTACTTAAAACATACATATATACTTGCATTTGATACCACATATTTTCAACCAACACTTGCCGTATCAACTCCCCAAATTAGCTCGCCGCTTGCTGATTTACTCTCCGAGTCATGATAATAAGTAATAAATTAATATATGAATTTAGTTAATATCGCATGGCTTTGATGAATTGTGACAAGCAACTCACTGAAAGTTATATTCTTTCTTTCAACTTTACTATTTCATTTATAGTGAATTTAATTTAGTAGTTTCATATATCAGTCCATGTACATTATAAATTTCATAAACATGTTGCAATCATACTCAGCGTCTCTATTACTATGAACATCATAATTTTTATATTGAGTTGTTTTCAATTTCTTTTGGAAAAATCTTAAATTTATCAAGGATATACAAAAGTGTTACGATAAAAGTGACAAGATATCATTTTCAATTTCTAGTTAAAGTTCTATTAAGTTCACGTGTATAAGTGTGCATCAAACCTAGAAATTTGGAAGATCTAAGTATTGATATATGTGAGCTTTAGTTTTTTTAAGGAAAAGAAGGAGAATATAGAGACTTGGATTTTCTCATGTTTGACGTGTTTATAAAGTTGGTATTGACTCGTAAAAAACAACAAAGATTATTTGACCGATTATGAAAAATCACCTGATAAAAAATAAGTGTGAGTATAAGCATAATTGTTTAAGTTAGTTTGTAGCATAAGTTAGCTTGTAGCCTAAGTTAGTTTGATAGTTAATTGATCTTACCTGATCAGACTTGGACCGTCACGACTGGCTCCGAGCGGAAGTTGAGTGAGATGGGGGGGGGGGGGGGGGGGGGGGGTACCTGCATGGCTCTCCGATGCTAAAATGAGTGATGGTACGAGCAGGCAAAAAGTATGTGTATGGGTAAAAGAATGAATACCTGACTCTCTAGGAACAGAGGTTTAGGATTCATGATATTGCTCGTTATATTCATAGTTTAGGTCGACGTACTCATGACTGGCCGGGATGTTGGCCCATTTAGGAAGTCTGTAGGACGATTCGTTGTGGCACCTTAGTGTCGGGGAGGTGAAACCAGGCTCTTGTTTGAATCCTCAACGTTTTAACGCGCGCGGAGTGTGACTTGGCTTGTCGTGCCCTTCTTCCCGTCAGTTATGGTGAGCGTATGGATTTGCTCTCGAATTTCACCGGTTTCCTGTGCTTTGCAGGTAAAATGGTTGACGAATCAGAGTCTTCGGGGCGCAACGAGGTCGAGGACCAGAGTGCCGAGGAGAATGTAACTCTAATTGATATTGTTGATGATCCTTTGCTAGATTGGGTGGGCGCCGAGCCCAAAGGGATTGCCTCGGCAAATAGTCGGCGCAGTCGGAGCGCCTACACTATTGTCGAACATGGCGGTGGTCAGTCGGGCTTCCAGAAAAACTTTGTTGTCACAAGACCGTCTCTTGACACACGGATCTGCTCGGAGTTCTCTGAGTACGGTTTTCCCATGTATGAAATCGCGTTCAAGGATCTCGGTCTCAAGCTCCCCTTTAGTGATTTCCAGGTCGGGGTATTTTATCATCTGGACTTGGCCCCCTCGCAGCTTCACCCCAACTCGATCGCCTTTCTTCGGGCGTTCGAGCTGACGTGTCGCTTTTTAAGGATCGGGGCGATCATCCCTCTCTTCTTTAGAGTTTTTCATTTGCAACGCCAGTCTCGAGGAGGTAGGCATAGTTGGTTTTCCCTGAAACAGTCGAAGAGGTTGTTCAGGATGTACATGGATTCGGTTCGGGGTTTTAAGGACAAATGGTATGTCGTGCGGCCGATCACCCAGACTGCTCTGGATTCCGTATACGAAGTAGAGACCGCAGTGACCGACGAGAACGGGGAGCCTCTTATGGACGGCGAGGGTCGCCCGGTGTTGGGGCGCGTATCTAAGTTCCCGTTGCACTGGTGCTCGCGCCATTATGAGCATGGTATCGGGCATTACCATACGCCCGCGGGAGGGATGAGTACCGAGGACGAGGAAGCCTACGATACCCTTTGCAGATATGTCGACAGTTTCTTCCCTGCCCTGTCGGCAACGAGGGAAGCAAAAGACATTCTTAACGAGGAAGGTTACCCGACCTTCGAGGCCCGTCCTATAGATACTAAGGCGCTTGTCGAGTTCCAGTCCTACGGGCAGGCCACAAACCTACTAGGTTGCTTTTTGTTTTATAGTTTGTTCTAGTTTCTTCGTTTGTTACTTGCTCGTAACTAACCCGGGTTTTCTTTTTTGCAGGCAATATGGCCGGACGAAAGGAGAGGCTCTTAAAACTGACACAGGATAAGAAAGTCAACAGAAGGTTGGTGCGAGCCCCACAGGCGACGAGGATGGGGCTGCCGACCAGCTTGGGTGATGCTTCTAGCGGGTCCCCGGACTCCCTGGACGTCGAGCAGCCCATTGATCTGATACCGAGGAAGAGAAATCGGGTAGAGAGCCAGTCGGAAGTCGGCGACGAGTCTGGCGCGGTGAGGGCCTTTGGCTTGCCCCTGCTTTAAAGAGGAAGGCTTCTTCGAGGGGTTTCCCTTGACAGTAAGTTCCGAGGAGGCTGAGACCATCAGGCGGCTAAATAAAGAAAATCGGAGAAAGCATCTGGCCGCCAGTATGGTCGGGATGATTAAGATGGCCGAGATGGCTGTTGTCCTCGCTGAGGAGGGGGCAGATTCTGACCGCGTCAAAGAACTGGAGCTGGAGAAAGATGCCCTTGCTGCGAGCTCTCGAAAGTTGAAGGCCGCTCTGGAACGATCTGAGGAGATGTTCTGCGAGCAGGCCGAGCTGCTGGCCGTGGAGAAGGAGAACTCGGGGAAGGTTGCCGAGGAGAGGGACTGTTTTCGGTTAGACCGGGAACGCTTGGAGGCCGATAACGAGCGTCTGGCCAAAGAAGTCGAGGATCTGAAGGCCTCCATGTTTCCCGCCGAAGATGAGTCGGAGGAGACAGCCCCCTTGCGGAGTCGCTCAGATCTGGTCGCGCGTATTCATCTCCTCGAAATTGACTGTGTTGGCGCCTTGGCGGATGGCTTTGAGGTCGCAGTTAGCCAGCTCACTTTATTAAATCCTGGTCTGAATACCGAGGGGGTGGGTTTTATGTCCCAGATCATCGACGGCCAGGTCGTGCCTCCGCCTGAGTCTCCTGTCGTGGATGCTGGTAGCCCCGGGGAAGTCTAGCCGTGGAATTCTGGTCGGGCTTGCGTGCCAGTTTATTGATAGTTTTTTTTTGGGCCTGCGTGCCCGTGCATATTTTTTGGGGCCTGCGTGCCCGTGCCTGTAATTTCTGAACATCGCCAGCCTTCTTGGTCGATTTATTTTTGTTTGTTTTTGCTTACGAGCCTTTGAATGAATGTCTGTTTCGACCTTTAATATTTGCTCATGTCTACGTTTTTATATTTTGTGATAAAATTTGCCTAAGTTATGTCCCCGAGTCTCGCCTGTACTCGGCTGTTACTTTGTGGCGAAATTTGCCT